TTTACCAAGAATTTTTCCCTTTTTTTTAAATCAAATGTCATAAATAGTTATTTTTCTTCTTCTTTTCAATGGAGTTTTTTTTATTTCTTAAAAACCTAGCCTAATTCATTAATTAATATATTTATTCTTCTTTATTTTTATTTATCTATTGGTTTTTTAAAGATGATTTCTTGATTAGGTAATTAAGATTAAAGATTAAGCATATTTTGTAAATTTTTTTTTTTTTTTTTTTTTTTTTTTAGAATTTATATATATATTTTATTTATAAATAAAATAATATATTTTTAATAAATTAAAAAAAACATTCCAATTTATAAAAATTATGTATTTTTAGATACTATCTATTTGGACAATTTTTATATTATCTTATTTGCTTAATTTAAATTAAAATGATAATTTTTTATGTTATAGATATTTTAACATATATGAAAAAAAAAAAAAAATGGATTTTTTTTTTTTATTAAAAATATTAAAATAATAATTTAACTTAAAAAATGTTTATTTTTTGACTTGTCTAAATTATATCTATAAAAAAAATATTTTGAGATTAATTTAATGTAAAAATATATATGAAAAAATAAAAAAAAAAAAACGATAAATATAAAAAAAAAAATATTCTAATAATATATCTTTATATTATATTTAATTAATACTAATATAAATAAACAAAAATAAAGATTACATTCATTTCTTTTATATATTATGAAAATACTTAAAAAATCAAATAAAATAAAATAATAAATTATTATTTTTAATTAAAAGAATAATAATTTTAAATTATATTATATTAATAAATAAAAACGAAAAATCTTATTAAGATAAAACATTTTATTTATTATTTATAGCCTATATTTCGTATTTCTTTTAAATTTCAATATAGTCGTTTTATTATAAATTTCAGATAAATATACAAAAACAAAAAAATTATATATATATATATATATATATATTTATATATATTATATTTTATTTATAAAATAAATAAAAATTAATATTAGAATTATAATACTATTATTATTTATATTATAAATTGTATTATACTTTTTTTAATAAGAAATATGATACATTGCAGAATCTTTTAACTTAAATAGAGTATGCAAACATGTAGAATTTTTTTTTATATATATACGATATTCGCATTATAAATTATAGTTTATTTAATTATAGTAATATTTTAATATTCATTAAGATCTAAAAAATAAAAACAAAACAAAAAAAAAATATAATTTTATATGTTCATAAGATTTTTAAAATTTATTTTCTGAATAATTATCGGTTAAACATAACTCAAAAAACAATTATCCTTTTTATGCCTTAATGTATATTTATATATCTATATTAATCGACATGAGTAATCAAGAAAAACTAAAATATAGATTTAAGTATAAATATATATATTATTAATAAATATATGATGTATTTTATTATTATATCTTTTTATATATAATATTTTTGATAGAAATGAATTTACTTTTTACAATATAAAATAAATTATATTGTATTTTAAAGATATATATATATATATATAAATTTATATATTTGTTATTTTTTATATTACAATATATTTATATTTATTTGAAAAAAAATATAAAATTTATTATAAATATTTAAATATATATTTATATATATATATATATATATATTTATTTAAATTTTTTTTTACATTTATTTATTTTATTATATTTATATCTATATTTAATGTTCTTTTTATCTTTTTAAATATTATTATTATATAAGATATATTTTTTATTTTATATATTTATATATTTATATAAAACTTTTATAGTTTAATATATATATTTAAAATTTTTATATATTTATATTTTTTTACTAGTCTTATTTCAAAGTTTAATTCTATTTCAATTTTACTGAATTTTTTATTTTATGAATAATTTAAAGTCATCTTTTTACGATTTTTTTTAGTTTTTAATAAACTTTTTTTATGATTACTCACAAAAAGACTTAATACAATTTCTTTATTATTAGACTTACCTTTAAAAAATCTGTGATAATTAATGGATTTTTAATTTTCTTTTATAGATATCATATTTTCTCTATAAATCTCAATCAAATATTTTTTTTAAAAAAAAAGCTATAATATTTTCTTTTATTAATATTGGATTTATTATTTTACTATGATTTAGGTTTATCACCTAAACAAATTTTGTTTTTGTTTAATTGGTAAATAATTAACTTTATTTAAATTCATAGTTTATTTAAAATACTAAATGAAAATATATTATTATTTTTATATATATAGAAATGTCGAAAAAAAAAAAAAAAAAATTAGTTAATTTTAGCAATTTTTACTAATGCAAAATAATATATATCTTTATAAAAATCATATATATATTTTATAAAAATCTTATATATCCTACATATTAACTATTTTATTATTAATTTGAAGGTTATAATAGTCTTTGGGAATTCTAATTTAATTACAATAGGGATTAGTCTGAAAGTAAAAAGAATCATTTTGCTAATTTCGAGATGAAAAAATGATATTATTTTTTTAGTTTTTTCTTATAGAAAAATTTGATGAGTTTTTTTGTTTAAATAGTATATAATTCTATTAATTTTTTTTAATAAACAAAAAATTCAAAATAAAGGTTAAATAATATTATTATATATTAAATTATAATTATACTAAGATATTTATATTTAAAAAATAAATAAAAATAAAATATTCAAAAAATTAATAAATATATATATTTATTTAATAAAAGTTTATAATATTCATATCTTTCTATTTATGTTCATTATAATTATTACTATTAAAAAATATAAATTAAATGTAATTTTGTGTTTACCCAATATACATGAATTATTATGATTACGGGGGGGGGGGGGGCATTTTTGGTTAAATTATATTGGGAAAAAGTGCTAATTGAGGAATAGTTAAACTATTTTTCTTTACTAAGGGAGAATATAAAAAAATAAAATAAGTATTATCTCCAATTATTTGAATTTATGTTAAATAAAAATACACCAGAAACAGTTGTGAATGATTTATGTTGTTGTAATTATAAATTATAGTAAGATTATAAATTGTTACTTTTTATATTGTTAGGAAATGAAATTACCTTTTTTTTTTAAAAAAAAAAAATAAGTATGAAAATACTTTAATATCCAAAATTAAATAAAAAGGACAATTTTATGTGAAAAATACTTAAAAATGTAACGAAAACACTATGCATTTCTCTTAATATTTAATTAAAAGAAATATGTAAGTCAATATAATAAATTAAATAATAAAAGAAACTAAATGAAATACTATAATAACAAATAAAAAAACACTATATATATTAGAAATCCAAAGTTATAATAATATATTATATATGAGAAAAACATTTTAAAAAACTATATTTAAATTAATTTAATTTTATTAATAAAATAAATAATATAAAATCTTTATACTTATATATAAGACAATAAATATAAATAAATAAACAGATAATTATATATAAATAATATAAAGATATATATACTAAATATATATATAAACTATAACTATAGATATATATAGTATATATAATATAAATACAATATAATATATATACTATATATACTATTTATACTATATATACTGTATATACTATATATACTATATACTATATATATAAATATTTTTATATTCTCTCATTCATAATATATATGTATTTTCTAAAATATAATTTTCGGTATTTAATATTCATGTATCTAAGATATTATTTATACATATAGTCAGATATATAAATATATATTATTTAATATCAGTTTACAAACTATTAAAATATATTATTCCAAAAAAAATAAGTTAGTATATATATTTGTTTTTATAATAAAATTTTAATAAATATATAAATATGTATATAAAATCATTTATATACTTAAATTATTTTGGTTGTTTAATAATATATATATGTACTAAATAAACATTAATCAAATATAATATATAAATTTTCCAATATTATATTTGGTATAATATAATAATATATAATATAAAATTAAATTAAAAAATAATAATTAATTTTATAAACTAAGAATATTATTATTATCATTTTATTTTTTTTTAAAAAAAAGAAAACACTTTTTATATTTGATTTAAAATTTATATTTTTAATATTTAACAAAAAAAATTAAAAAATATAATTTATATTTACAGTCTAATCTATAGAGAAACTGTTTTTTTAACAATAAACTCAATAAATTCGAGAAATTTTTTCCTTTTAATTATTATTATTTTATATTATTTTTATTAAAAACATTAATTGTATACTTCAAAATGTATTTATAATTAATATTATATTCTTTAATTTCTCAATTGCTTTTTTTAACTTCTTTCATATTTTTTTATTTAAATATTGGAAATTTTATCTATTTAATAATTCAAAACTCATACAATACATATATAATTGTTTTTTTTAATCAAAAATAATTAATATTATTATTAAAAAATAAATCATTATATATTGTAGAATTAAGGAGATTTTTTTTTTTTTTTTTTTGGTATTATTTTAAGTTTAAGAAAAATATATTAAGAATGTCTTTAAAAATTATTAAAAATATATAAACTTAATTTACGCACAAATAAAAAAAATTATTTTTTATAATAAATACATTAAACTTTATTAAATTCTTTTAAAGCAATATTATCATTTGCTTTCTTTAATTTATTCTTGGTTCTCTTTATTGTTTTTTTAAGAAATAATCATATGATTAGAATTTTATTATATATCTAAACTATTAAAAAGATAATTTATTCCTATAAATCCAGTTAAAGTACCTGACAGTATAAGTAAATATTGATATGATTTAATAAATATTTTATTTTTCATATAAAATAAAAACTAATATATATATATATATATATATATATATATATTTTGTTGAATAAAAAAAAAAAATTAATTTTTTTATTTATATTTTTTAAATAAAGTTTTTTATATAAAGATAAATTAAAATAAATAAATATAAAAAAACAACAATATTTAAAATAACAAAAAAAACAACAAAAAATAATGTCCGATAGCAACCCTTTCGAACTTTTAAAAGAAGAAATGGAATCTGATGAGATATCTGTTAGAGTAAATGCAATTCACAGATTAAAAATAGTCGCAACTTTAATGGGAGCCGATTAAATTAAATCAATATTAATTCCTTATATTGAAAGTAATAAAAACTCCTTTTTTTTGTATTAAATTAATAAAAAATAGGCTTAATAAAAAAAGAAGAGGATGAGGTTTTGTTTGCAATTGCTTAATAATTTGAAAATTTATCGTAATTAAATTGCATTAATTATTTATTTTATTTTTAAACAAAAATAGTTAATTATTATAAGGAAATTAAACTATTTTATTACCAAATTTAGAAATGCTTGCAAGTTCCGAAGAAACAGTTGTCCGTGAATAAGTAAATATAGAATTTATATATATATATATATATATATATATATATATATATATATATATATAATATATTATATATATATATATATTATATTATAATATATCAAATAAATACATAATTAATTTATTATAATAATGACATAAAAAGGCAGTTAAATCTATGATAAACATAGCAAATTCATTTAATGATAATGAAGTTTAAAATCTTTATATTCCATTAGTATTTAATATATATATATATATATATAAAAACAAAATATATAGATAATACGTTTAGCTATAAATGATTAAAATTTTACATGTAGAGTATCTTCAGTTCATTTAATGTGCACAATATATCCACGTGCAGGTGCTTATAAAGATAAAATCCGCACGTAAATAATTAATATAAATATAAATACTATAATAAAATATAAATATATATATATAAATAAAAAACACTGTATTTTTTAAATTGAAAACATTATATATATATATATATATATATATATATATATATATATATATATATATATAATTAAAAAACGCTATTTATATTTATGAATTTAAAATAAAACTAGAAAATTTATTGAATTATGTAGTGAAGAAACACCTATGGTCCGTCGAGTAGTTGCCTAAAAAATCGGCGTAAAAAAATATAAACACACTCATATATATATATGTATAAATATCTATATATCTATTTATTTATAATAATACAGGAATTTTCCACAGTTATTGAAAAGGAATACGTATTATCATCCTTAATATAAAGTGTTAAATAATTAATATCTGATGAATAAGACTTAGTTCGTGTTTTAGTTTTAAATTCATTAAAACTTATAGCAAAAGTATTAAAAAAAGACGAGAATAAATAACACACACTACCAATAATAATAGCCGCAACTGAAGATAAATCCTGGCGAGTCCGTCTTTCTTTATCTAAGATTTTCCCCGAAATCGCCGAGGCTTTTGGTGAAGAAGGTGATTCAGTATCTTTAATTTAAATATTTACTAATTTATTAAGAGATACAGAAAATGATGTTAGATCAGCTTCTATATAGTCTTTGACTAAATTTTTGAAAATTCTTTCTCCTGAAAAATTGGTCATTATAATACCTCATTTATAATATTTGGCTAAAGACTCCGTTTTTTAAGTCAGAGCAGGAGTCACTGAAGTAGTATATTTAATGATAAATATTTTACCAAAAGATACTATAGTTTAAAAATTATTACCACTTATAATAGAACTGTTTGATGATGAAAGTAAGGAAGTTAGATAAGGAGCGACTAAAGCAGTATCTAAATATGTTGAGGTTATAGGTGTTGATGCTTTAAAAACTGCTATACCACTTTTTAAAAAAACTATAGAGGATAATAAGTGGAGGGTTAGGGTAGAAACATATGATGCATTAGCTAATATTGCCAAAAGTATTAAAAACTAAGAAGTTTTTGTCAATAATATCGAAAGTATCTACTTTAGTTATTTAAAAGATAGAGTAGCAGCTGTTAGGGAAAATGCAGCTGAAAAATTATAGATAGTTATTTAAATTTATAAAGAATGGGCAACAAGTAGATTATTTAAATTCCTTTAGGAAGGTTTAAATAAAGATAATAATTATTTATATAGATAAAGTGTACTTTAATCTTTAAAAGTAAAATTATATATAATTTATATGTAAGTATATTTATATAAATAAAAGATTCTTGGTTTAAATTGTAATCTGGATTTTGTTAATAATCATCTACTTCCAGTTATTATTAAATAGTGTGGTGATAATTGTCCTAATATTAAATTTGTTTGTGTTAAAGTACTTAAAGAAATTGCAAAAAGAAAAGAAATTTAATAAGGAGATATTAGAAGGTTTAAAATAAAAAATATTATTAAAATAAAATTATATATAAAAATATAAATGAATATAAATATATATATATTTAAAATAATATATATATTTATATATTTATATATTTATATATTTATATATTTATATATTTATAAATTTATATATTTATACTACAGTGCACTTAATGGAATGTGTAATGATAATGATAAAGATGTCAAATATTTTGCTTAGGAAGCATTATAGGATATTTGAATATTTTTTATATAATTATTATTATTTAATTAATATTATTTTATATATTTTTTTTAATCTTTGAACTTTTTTTTAGTATTTCTTTTTTTTTATTTATTATTATTTTCACCTATAGATTTTATGAAAATCTTACTATTATAATTATTTGTATTATCTTTTTTTTTAAAAAAAAATTTTATATTATAAATAATGTTTTGTAGACTATTTTATATGTCTGTCTAATAATTTTCTAAATTTATTTTTAGAATTTCTTTATCTATATAATAAAAAAAATTTGTAATCTGAAAAATGAATAACTTAAAGAAATTATAATATATCCAATTAATTTAGATATTTTTTATATTTATATTTTTCTTCTTTATGCTTTTTTTTAATAAAATATACGTTTTTATATATACTATATGATAGATAATATTAATTAGATTTGTAAATCAATAAGTTTATTAAAAGCTTTTGAATATTTAATTAAGAGGAAATCAAAGAAATAAAAGAAATTTACTATACGGATATTAAAAATAAAGAATATATATTCCTTAAAAGAGAATTATATATTATTATCAAATAAAACTATTATTACTATATTTAATATTAACTAAGTAAATAGTTCAAAATTTATTTAATTAATTTATTATAGGAATAGCATATTTATATTATATATATTATCTTCTATTTATGATAGTGATTATTTTTTGATTTGAATAAAGTGTACATTTTAAGAATTTATAGATAAAAAAATTTTTTGGTTATAAATTAAATATATATTGATTATATGTTTCTATATAAATATTATTTTATTTTTAAATATTATAAATATAATAATCTTTATTTTAATTATATCATAATAGTCTTATTAATTTATATAAATAAATATGTAGGTATAGTTTTATTTATATTAGATTTTTAAAATATATTATATTTATTTAAGCATTTTGTTTTATATAAACATAAAGTCAATTTAATTTATTTAGTAATTGTTTATTTTTAAAATTTTATATCAAAAATATATTGTGTTTTCTTATAAATTTGTATTTTATTAAAAATAAATTAAAGAAAATCTTATAATTAAAAAAAATAGGCATTTTTTTATTTATTTATGAAAAATAAAAATAAAAAAAAAATCATATTAAAATATAAAACAATTCTAAAAATAAAAAACAATTAATAGATTTAAATAAACGATCTTTACTAAACTTATCTTCTTTATTATTAGATTTTATATTATTACCATTATCAATGTTTTTTTATTAATTATTAATATTAAATTATTAATTCTAGCTAATATTTTAATTATTATTATTATTATCTGATATTAAGGATTATGATTATGATTATGATTATGATTATGATTATGATTATGATTATGATTATGATTATGATTATGATTATGATTATGATTATGATTATGATTATGATTATGATTATGATTATTATTATTATTATTATTATTATTATTATTATTATTATTATTATTAATTTTACTTCATCTCTTCATCTTTTTTATTCTTTTATATACAATTACCTTATACATCTAAATAAAATCCATCTAAACATTCTAAGCAATTATTTTTTAAGCATTTTTACAATTTTCTATCTCTTATTCACAAAAATAACATTCACTTTCTTCACACTAGCATAATTCTCCTGTAAATCCTTCTAAACAATTACATTTTTCATTCATACAATATCCATTTCCACTACAAAAATTTTTGCATTCTTCTTATTAATTGCAAAAATCTTCAATAATAGGGCATTCTAGTTTACCTTAATAACCCTATATGTTATTAATGATTTAATTGTCATATTTACAATATAAAAAGAAGTCTCCAAATGTAATTTTTATTGACTATTATTCACAAAATGCCTCATAGCATCCAATTTCATCTAAAATATTTTTGTTTTATTCTTTAATTAATGTACTTTTAAATGCCTTACTTTAAGCACCAAATTAAATATTTCTTTCATATTTTAAAAAGTCATTATTAAATTCCTATAAATAATTTTTTTATTTTAAAAAAAGAAAAGAACAAAAAATAAACTTCATTTTAACAATTTTTTTCTTCATAAACAAAAACATCGTTTTCATTCAAAAAAAGGCATCCTTTACCTTTTCCATAGCTTGTTTTTTATTCCATTTTTAAATTTACTTAATACCATCCACTGTCTTCCAATAGAGCATTATTTGCACCACTCCAGACTACTTTTCCTTATAAATAATTCAATAAAATAAGATGAAAAATATAAAAAAATCACCTAAAATAGCACTAGAAGTCATCAAATCATTAAACTTTTAAGTTTCTTTCCAATTCAAACCTGGAAATCCTTCTGGTTTATCATTTTAAGTAGAAAGACCTTAAATATCATTACATTAGAAGTGATTTTAAGCCCATTTTTTAACATTTGGGAAACTTAAAAAATTATTATTAAAAAATTACTCTTCATATAATTTAGAAGTATTAGGATTAATAAAATATTCAAAAAGACTTTCGGAAAATACTAAGGAATGAAAAATTAATTGTAAAGTAAACTTATAAATTCTATTAAAATTGAAATAACTAGGTTTGTTATTGTCTATATGAAAAATATTAAAACTCAAAATTGCGAAAATAGGTCTATAATCTTAAAAACTTAAAAAACAAGGACATGAATATACTATAAAATTGTCTTCTGGCTTATTTATAATTTAAATATATAAATGAAAATCGGAATTTAATAATCCTATATATATATAAATATATAAATATATAAATATATATATATATTTATATATATATTTATATTTAAAATAACCTATTTAAATTTCTTTTTAAGTCAATTTTTTGTTAAAGCATTCTGATTATTTTATTATATCTCTATTTTTGAATTACTTGGTATTTTAACTTTTATTAAATCTTAATAAAATTTAATAGAAATTTTTAAAGTTTTTATTATTAATTCTCTTATTTTTGTATTTTATAATTTTTCTACAAGTTCATTATCATTATATGTTATACGAAATTTTTAAGGAGTATCTAATTTTCTTTATCTTTTTTGAAGAAAAGTTTATTTTTAGATTATTTTTGGAAATTAATAAGAATAATATATAAATAAATAAATTAATACTATATAATTATAATATTACATTTTTATTATATTATATTATATTTTTATTATTTAAAATATTATTATATAAATATATTTTAGAATTTATAATAATTTTTATATATAATAGATTATATTTTTTTATAACATAAAATAATATTAAATTATAATTATAATTTTTTTAACAGAAAAAATTTATTATATCAATAGAATATAAAAAAATAATTATTATATAAATTTATTATTATATTTACTGACATAATTATATTATTTTATTTATTTTCTAACTATAAATATTTTAATTTATATTAATTTTCCTATATATTATTATAAAATACAAAATACTATTGAAGATACAACACAAAATAAAAATATAAATTAATTATTATTAAAAAATATATTGAATAATTCAAATAGCAGATCCTCTTTCTAAATTTGCCTTTATATCTCTTGTATATTCTGAAAAATGTCTTTTAAGTTTACTATTGAAGTTTTTATTTCTTTCATCAATAAAATCTACATCTTAATCACGATCATAAGCTCTTCTTCTACTAAATTTCGATTTTTTAATTTTCTCTAAACATAAAAAAACTTAATATAAAAGAATATATATATTTTAATACTATTCTTCAATTTCTTATGCTAATTTATTTAAAGCTTCTTCGGAAACTTCATATGCTTTTTATGGATTTTACATTTATTCTTTATATAATTCTTCATTAAAATTTAAATTTTTCCATCTTTTTTCTTAAGCTTTATATAAACTATCACTATTAAAAACTAAAAAAAAAGTATATATATATATATATATATATATATATATATATATATATATATATATATATAATAATTTATATTTATTTATATTTATATTTATATATATTTGTAAACTTATTTATATTTATATATTTTTGTAAATTTATTTATATTAATTTTATATTTACCATTCCATCCGAAATTTTCTTACATATTTTTTTTTTTTTTTTATTATAAAAATATCATATTTTATAGCAGATTATTCCATATAAAGCACTGATTTTTCAAGCCCTTTGTTTTCCAATTCTTTTTATTTATGTTCGAATTTTTATTTAATGATTTCTCTTTTAGTATTTTTTTCATAAAAAGGGTCCAACGCTTTTTTTTCATCTTCTAAAACCGCCAAAGAATTTAATTTTTTGGCCTCATTTATTTTAAGTTTTAAATCCCTTATTTTTTCTAATTTACTTTCCGAAATTTTACTATTTACAATATCAACTTAAGGAATTTCGACATTTTTCTCCTCTTTCAATATCTCTATTTTCTCCTTTAACTTCTTTAAAGCATTTTCCATTTCTTTTCCTTTCTTTTCCTCTATACTAATATCCTAATCCTTTTATTTTGCATAATACTCCTCTGGATCGATACCCTATCTCCTTAATTATTCAGCTTCCACCTTCCTCTTCTAAATCTCTTCATATTTCTATTTAGCGAATGGATCTTCCTTTAAAAAAGCCCTCTTGTCTCCAATTTATCCACATTATTTTATCACTACAGGTAATTTAGGTCTTTCATTTATATCTACAGGTACTTTAGCTATTTATCTAACGACATCCATGCCATCAATAACCTATCCAAAGACCACATGCTTTCTTTAATTTATATATATGTATATAACTTATTTATATAAATGTATATATGATTTATAATATATATATATATATATATATATATATATATATATATATATATATATATATATATATATGTTAATACCCATCTAAATGTGGTGCGGCTTTTAATGTTATAAAAAATTAAGAATTATTAGTATTTCTTCCATTATTAGCCATAGAAAGTTAACCTGCACATGCATGTCTTCTTGAAAAATCTTCATCATCAAAATATTTACCATATATAGAAAGTCCCTTTATATTTATTTAAAATATAAAATAGTATTTAATTTTAGAATTTATTGGCTTTTTATTTTTTACTCCTGTACCATCTCCATTTGTAATATCACCGCCTTATATACAAAAATTTTCTACTATGCGATGTATTTTGCTATTTTCGTATGATAATTGGGATGTTTTACCACCTAAACCAGTTGATCCGTAGTCATTTGTACATAATCCACGAAAGTTTTCGGCTGTTTTAGGGGTTAGATCAGTGTATAATTCAAGTATTATACGACCCGAAGGCTTAGAGCCTATCATTATGTCGAAATATATTTATGGAAATTTCTTTTTTTGCATTTTATTTTATAGTTTTTTATGTCTAACTTTTTTAAAATTATTACTATTATTGAATATAATTAAATATTGTTTTTATTTGATTTGATTATTATATTTTATTTTAAAAAAAATATAAATTAATATTAAAAAATTAGGAATATAAATTTCTATTTTAGTAATTAAATAAAAAAAAAATAGGATTTAATTATATATATATATATATACAAAAAACATTTATTTTATATAAACTGAAATGAATATTATATATAAGTGTTTTTTTTTTATTTAATAAAAAATTTTATATAAATTTATTATAAAATATATATTGCTTTTTTATATTTTATATTGTTAAATTAAAAAAATTAATGGCTTTATAAATTAAAGTTTATTTTATATTTTACTAAATTATTAAATTAAAGAAAATTATTAAATTAAAGAAAATATTATATAAACTAACTAAAAAACAATTAATTTTATAAAACTATATATAAATTTTATTATAAGAATATACAAAAATTTATTTAATAAATAAATATTAATTAAAACTTAATATATATATATATATATATATATATATATATATATATATATATATATATATATATATATATATATACTTTTTATTAATTTATATTTATAAAAATCAATAAAAATTGACCAAATATTCAAAAAATTATTATTCTTTATTACTTAAAAATATTTATAATAATTTAATTAAAAAATATCTAGTAATCTTTATAAAAAACTTAAAAATATGTGAAAATTAAATTAAAGAAATGTATAGATAGATAGTGAATCAAACTTGTGGTTTATGTTATTTCCTTGAAAACAAAAAAAATGGATATTTAATATTATATGATTGTTCATAAAAATATTTTATATAATAAGGTATATAGAGTTAATTAAATAAAAATATAAATTTTATATATGTTAATTTAATATAAAATATTATAATAAATAAGTAGAAATTAAAATGTAAAATAAGAACGACTTGAAATAAATAATAATTAAAATAATAATAAAAAAAAAAAATTATATTAAGATAATAAAATATATTAAATTAAAAAAAAAAAAGGAAAAATATTTATTTTTTTAAATATAAATATATATTATTTATGTATATAATAAAAACTCTAAAATATAAAAAAAAACCCAAATTCATATAAATAAAAGAATTAATTTTTGTTAAATAATAAATTTATATGATGAAATATTAAATTTAAATTCATTAAAATATAAATATATAAATTTGTATCAAAATAATTATAAATAATGAAAATATTTAAAAAATTATTAATTATTAAAATAAGTAAGATGTTAAAAATTAATTATTTTTTTGAAATAAACGTTAAAAAATTTGTATTTGATTATGAAAATATATATAGTTTAATTATATGCAATATAAAAAAAAATAGTTTTAAATTTAAGATAAAAATAAATTCTAATATATAATAAAATAAATATATATGAATTTAAAAAATAAAAAAAAAAAGATATATTATATAATAAATAATTGTATAGTATATATATATATATATATATAT